TTAGCAGAACAGAACGAGTCAAATCCTCTTAAACACACTTACAACATGATTGTAATTATTAGACACTGTGGGTACAGCCCTGTTTAATCATTATTGCATATTTGGGGAATATCCAGGGAGCTAAATGTCTCTGAAGTGTCTCTATTAGCTTGTTGTTTTGTAGCTAGACATGTGATTTATAGCGAATAAAAGCAGGTTTTAATTGTTTTAGATGGTCAGATTCAATGTCTGTAAAATCCTCAATTAGCTTTGGCTCCAGAGACTCGAAATGAGTCTTCTTCAATAGATTGCATTACCTTACAGATCAGGGTAATTATGTCCTATTGTTGATTTTTTCCAACAGTGGTACAATATTCTCTGTAATATTGCTGAATGGCCTAAATAATCTTTTTCTTATGGTTCTTATACAGGATTTGGTTTTTATCCTTCTTTTCGTCTCTTGATTTACTGTCATCTCCTCTTCCTCCCATGTCAGACAGGCTCAAATGAGACCCTAAATACTTGGTTCATATTCAGACAGAGGAGTCTGTTGTCAGCTAAATGACTGCAATATCCTCTAGCTGCAAAATAAGCTCAGATGATGAACCCTCCACCACTGTGCTTAGGAGTTTGTATGACCTAATATTGGACTCTATTTTAGACTTATTTGAAGTGGACGGTTACAGCCACACATCATCATGGTGAGTTTGCTTTTGCCGTTATTGCCCTTCCAAAGGCCTCTTGTTTTACAGCCTTAACTCTATTCATAGACGGAAAAATGAAACTGATTTTAAAGGCCCCATATTATGCAAAATTCACTGTATAAACATTTTGTAACAGTCACGTGTCCTGGAGCTTGTGTACAAAGCTCACGCATAAAAAAACCTTTTATTTCTATTACTGCCTTTCTCCAGCTCTTAGCTACTGTGTGCTAAAAATGCTCTGTTTGAAAAACATTCCCCTTATGATGTCATCAGGGGAAATCAGCAGTGTGTAGCAGTCCATCAGTCAAGCTACGGCCTTCATCTAATGTATTTCTCCATGCCCCTAGGCTATCTTTACAAACTTGTTGTCATGGTTTTTGGTTGTGAAAGCGCAACCTTCGGGAGGACTGAAGTGTGGAAAGTCAAAAAAACTCATCCACAAGAGGGCCTAATAAGGAGACTATTGGTAAAGGCTGTCTGCTTATTTTGAGATTAATTTTTCTGCACAAATGGCAAAAAAACTTAATCTGAGGGCATCATTTTTAATATTTTTTATTTTCAAATGTAGAATAATATGGGACCTTCAAAATTCTCCTAAAAAAAATCACTTCTAAACCTTGAACTGTGCAGTAATCAGTGAAATATTTCCATGTGGTATACTCATTTTCTATTTCGTTGTGATCATTTTCAGGTTGATTCCCATTCAAAGTTGGGATATTGTTTTAGAAACGAACTCTGCTTCCTATTCCTTAGTCTCCAAGGTGCTATATGTTTCCCAATACCTCCAACCTCTGAGGCCTTAACAGGACAGCTGGATTTATACAGTGATTAAGTGACTTACAGATCTAATCTACTTAACAGGCTTCTGCAAATGACTAGTTGCACAGGGGCTGAATATGTATGCAGTGGATCTTTTTCTGATGTTGAATTAGTTTATTTTAACAAAAAAACAACACCCTATTCCATCATACAGATTTGCTCCTTTGTTAAGGTTTTCATATAAAACTCTTATTAAAACACACAGATTGTGATCGCTACGTGAGAAAATGTGAAAAAGCTTGAAGGATATGAATTTGTCTTGCAAGGCCTTGTTAGTAAATACACATTCGAGCCAAATTTCCGGCAATCCTGCGTTTGTGTATCTGTGTTTAAAAGCATCTCTGTGTATTTCCTCCTCCAAATGTATGCAGCAGCTCCACTACAGACCCTGCAGGTATCTGCAGGCAGAAGTGACTAGTCCTTGAGCAGCTGGCTTCCTGTACCTTTTCCTCTACTTACTGTCCAGTGTTTAAAAAAAACGCAGTAAACACACAATTTCCTGTCATTCCTCCAGAGAAAAATCCCTTAAGAGGTTTCAGTGGAAGTCAATCAAAAAAGAAAATTGTTTGCTGATGGTATAGATTGAGGACACGTTTATTTGATTGTCCTTTACAGGCATTGCTATTTATTTGTTGACATCTCTAGTCTCACTCTGGTTGTCAAAAGAGCAAATCGATGCACCAATTTGGATTCTTTTTCAATGTGATTGCAACAAAAGCAATTAGCCATGAGTGTACAACATGGGAGCTAATCCAAACATCACTCAAAAAAAAATGGAGACAAATGTCCTTCGGCAGTTATCCCAGGCATGCTGATCCATCCTCGGCCCTTTTGTGCCAGGGGTCGGGCTGGAGACATGGACAATTTAAGAGGGAATTCGGTAAGCAGAATTGAAAAGCGAAAACGAATGAAGTCAGGTGTCCTCCTGTGACCTGATCCCATTTTCCATTACTGCCTCCTTTAATCACAGCAAGTGACGGGAAGTGATGAAAGAAGGGCGAGGGGTGACAGGGAGATGAAGGGATTTGGGAAGTAAAGGTTGGAGTCATGGCACGCTGGGTGTGTGTGCGAAATGTAATAAAGCTTCGGAATGAGCCTCAGGGTGTTTCCCTGTTTCTAAGTTATTTCAAGCCAAGTCCCGTCGACTTGGAGCAGAAGGGAAACCCATCCAGTTATGCACCAGGCGCCTGTGTTTGTGTGTTTTCACAAGATCTGCTGTGAAGTTCTTTAGGTTTTGTTTGGTTCGCTCATATGTATAACACCTGGATGTTTGGTTCTGCACGGCCTCAGAGTGGCTTTGCTGCAAGAAATGCGTCTTGTTTCATTTCCTTTCCAACTAAACTCTCTCTGGTTTTGTTTTATGTCTGAGATATGAGTCCAGGGGGCTTTTAATAACCTCATTCCCAAACATAATAAGACGAAATGAGATTGTTTTCGATGATGGAGGGATGATCTGAGAATCGGATAGACCTGCAGAGACTCCGCTCTTTTCTGCTGCACTCTCCTCAGCAGCTAATGCTACCCGACTCAGCCGCCGCCTCTCACTAAATTCCAATTTGTGCCTTTGTTAAAGCAGTTCTGTCACTTTGTATCTAATGTATCCCTAATGATAAAGCTACTACGCCGGGTTATTGGGTGATTTGCAACAATGACAGCGCTGATTACATGCATAATTACTGCTCTAAATGCAGACGCACAGACATTAACTTTTACTGTTGGAGGTTGGTGATTTTGTGCCAACTTTTTAATCTTTTGTTTCCTCTTTAGTTTCTGAATCCCCCCTAAAATTAGAGGAAAAGGAGTATAAAACAGTAGAATTTAGAGCTCAATAGTTCAGATGTTGTTAACCCGAAAATTAAAGTTTGAATATTAGACTTGAATTAAATTGATGGGTTTTCATTTCCTTTCAGTTTATGCTGAATTTTAAAAAGTACAATGAAAACAGCCAGATGGATCAAGAAGGTGCAGCACAGACGTACAAAACCAACAGATCGAAGAGGTGCGACCTGCATGCAGCCCATGTAACTGAGTCATTACTTGAAAGGAGATGTTTATTCAAGAACAGAAGTAGTAAATATTGCACATCTTAGAATGGATTCCTCTTTTCAGAAGAACAGCAAAGTTTGGTTAAAAGGTTGATTGGAGAGGAATTCAAATGGATGCTGATTAGCAGTCTGGCTAAAATGATCCTAACTGCTTTAAAATGGAGATGGAGAGCAGAACGAAGTGGAGGAAAATGGACAACTAGCCAAGGATAACCTGAAAGGAATCAAAGGTCTGCCAAAAATAAAATAATTCAACATCTTATCCAGTGATTTTGTAAAAAATAAAAAAAAAACTGAGCCTCTCTGCTTCCAAGTCAACTTCCAAACACATAATTCAAACCACCGAACACCGTGGAGTATTGTGGTGTCAGGATAATTTATTAAATACTAGAAAATACTCTGAATACTTTAAAATACTTGAAGAGATGTTATAGAAGTAATAAGTGCTTCAAGAAGATAATTGGAGCAGAAAAGCCAAATAGTTTGTGCCTCAAATTTCCGTAGATTAACTGTGAATTTGACTTTTTTCACATTTCAAATTGAAACAGAATATTAAATACTTCAAATGCATTCATATTAATCTAAAAAAATTATTATTATTATTTTTTTTTTGTCACGCAGTTAAGATTTAAACATTTCTTTGGAATCAAATCATTTTCATGCTCTCAGTTTCTCCTCCACACATTTCGTTTCTACATTTAAATGAGGGAAATTTTTGCAACTTCACTCAGTGTGTCAGTCACTGCGGTGAAAATTACAGCATTCATTAAAATAACCCAAATAAATTGGTTCTTAATCTTCTACTAGAGGTGAAATATTTTCTTTAAACTCACATATCTACCAGATAAAATGCTGCAGGCTGAAAACATTCAGATGATGCTGACCGCTCATCGGTTTGGATTTCTTAGTCTGTTAGGAAATTGAATTGAGACATTTTTTGGTGTTTGAGGCCTAAAATAAAGCAGCAAACAGTTATTTAGATTTTTGCATTCCTCAGTGGCTCTGTCGTTTATTTATCATATCAGTCCATCATTATGTTTTTTTTTCTTACTCTTAATAGAAAAATAGAAAAAAGTTGATAATTTCTTCGATTTAAAGGCAGAAATCTTTTAAACTTTCGTTTTTTAAATTTTTTTTTGTTCAGAAAGGTGATGTTTTTCTTTTATGTCGAAGCTTTTCTGTTTAGCCGCTGGAGATTTCTTCCAGTTGAAACAACGGAAATCAGACCAAATGCATTTGCCTGTTGCTAAACACCACATTTAAAAGTTCTTCAGATAATTTCCAAAAATGAAAATAATTGCTTATAGAAACTCTTTACATAAACTAAAGGGATGGAAGACATTAAACATGGTTTTACAGTTTTAGAGGCTACTTGTGTTGACTTAATAATGAAATGTTTAGCTGGTTTCTCAGTATTCACCAGCCTCATTCTGGCTCCTAAAGGTCAGATTACCTTGAACTGTGAGCTGTGCCTGGGCTTCGACGGTGGCGTTGGAGTTTTCGGCCACGCAGGTGTAAATTCCGGCATCTTCCTCCGTGACGTTGGAAATCTGGAGGCTCCCGCCTGCCACCATTTCTACACGACCATCGCTGCAAACAGAGAGACACAAAAAAAAAATCGGACCAAAACTGAAACACAACCACAAACCATCTTTATCAAACCATCGGCAACAAATACAAGAAGTCTATGATGAGCAGCAACACCTTTCATTTCACTTGCTATACCTATAGATGAGATGCATTCCTCCGTTTTTTTTTTTTTTTTTTTTTTTTTTTTTGAGCAGAAATAAGAATATTCTCTTGAGATCAACCCTCCCCTACTGACCCGAGTTTGACTCCGAATTCTGGCCTCATTTCTTTTGCGCCGTCACAACAGCCATAAATAAATGAAAGATGCTGAAAGCAGAGCAAGCTGAAGGAAAAGCAAATAAATTTGAAACTCCTCTCCAACGTCATTCAGAATATATTTTAGGAAAGCTTCCAGCAGTGCTCTGCAAATAAAAACAGGAACGAATGAGAAAGTAATGCTTTGTCATTTTTAGTATAGGGGTAGTATAGAGCTTTGAAAAAAATAAATGTACTGGAACCGACGTCTACGTGTTTTATTTTTGCATTCATCCCTCAAGATCCCATGTGAAACTCACTATCCAGGACGACTCCAGCACAGGCAAGTTTTACACAGTCTATGTTTGGTTTTGCTTTTTTAACAGTGGAAATGTTTGGGCAGTTTCATCATCTTGACATATGTTTGCATCAGTTTATCAATATCTACCGGTGGCACCCATGTGCAAACCAGCCCAGTTAAAACTAGGGGAACTTTTTTATGCTCTACAAGCATAAGATGAAAACCAACATAATCACACATATTTACATATAGAAGCACGTTTTCCTGTTTTAACAGCGACTCTTTACACTTTTCTTCTCTAATTTCCTGTTTCCTAAATTAGAGTTTCAGTTTTGTTTTTCTAGTGTCTTGATAACATTTATACAAATACATTTATATAAAAATATAGTGTATAAATAAATATTTTAGAGGTTTCTTAGGCACTAAACACTGAAAACTGATGATAGATGAATAAATAAGGGGTTCAGTTTATTTAGATAATGTGGCAAGGAATAAAAAAACAAAATCCTTCTTAGTATTTTGACATTTTCCCCATACATATATCATGTAAATCACATGTCAGAACTTTACTAACAGTATAGGACCCATGTTTATGAAGCCATTATATTCACAAATAAATACTCGGGCGTTTATACTTCTAGACCTAAATAAACCACCCAGCTATTTGTGTATCTTTCCTCTGCACCAGTGAGAGCCCCAGTTTAGACAGTTCTGTTCCCAGTTGGCCCAGTGGGATTCAGGCTGTGGCTGAGTTCAGGCTCTATTCAACAATCACTGGAGCATTGGAGAAGGAGGAGGCAGCAGAGAGGGAGGAGACCTGCAATCGATAGCCTACAGGGAGAAGTCTGCTTCACACAAGGAGATGAGGAGCAGAGAGGAGTAAGACCAGCAGGTCAGCTGAGCATGCATCCTGAGGGGGCAACAGTAGAAACAAACTGGAGAGCTGGTAGTTAGTTAACTGGTAACTTTGGCAGCACAGACCTTGTTCCAGATGACATCACTGCTCAGTGTTACTGAGGGGGTTTGAATAGATCAACATCTGCCACAGTTTATTACCACTTTAAGCAGCTATGACTTCCCTCAGGTAAAGACAGGTAAAAAGCCTCAAAGTGAAATCCTTTTTAATCAAAAACCTCAGTCACATATTGAGGAACATATGTTTGCTGTAAAACTCACCAGCGCCGCTCTGAGCTTTAACAATTTTCAAACAAATGCATGCATAGGGCATGATGAGGCATCTAAATAAATAGAAAGAACACGCTTTTATGTCCTACAGATGCAGTCTGTTTAAGAACAGAGCGGTTCTGTGATGCTGTGGGCCTGTTTCAACACTCCGGGAACATTTGTTAGAGAAAATAAAACCATAACATTTCTTTATAAAACGAGAACACATGCCCTGTGGGAGAAGGGAAAAACAAGTTCCTCACTAGACTATAAAATCCTCCTTCTCACATATAAAGCCTTAAATGGCCAGGCTCCATTTGATATCAGAGATCTGATTGTTCCTTATGTTCCTAACAGAGCACTTCGCTCTCAATCTGCAGGTTTACTAGTTGTTCCTAGAATTTCTAAAAGTAGAATAGGGGGGCAGATCTTTTAGTTATCAGGCTCCTCTCCTGTGGAACCAACTACCAGTTTTAGTCTGAGAGACAGACACCCTGTCTACTTTTAAGGCTAGGCTTAAAACTTTCCTTTTTGATAAAGTTTATAGTTAGAGTGGCTCAGGTTATCCTGAGCTATCTCTATAGTTATGCTGCTATAGGCTTAGACTGCTGGAGGACATAAGGATCCCTTTGGTTGTTTTCTTTTGTTTACCTGCTTTTGAAAAAAAAAAATTATCTCTCTCCTTTTCCAAAGTAGGTTTTGCTTAACTGGAGACCAATCATTTTCCAGTTGATGCCCCCCTTAAATAACTAGATCCATGAATTTGAATAATTTTCAGGGTTTGTGGAAAACGATTTCAATTTGGTGAAAATAAATCTATTTTCTGGTCTTGAAAGGTTCAAATACGTTTTTTAGCTGTGTTTTGCTAAAAATATTTGGTAAATTTGGATTTTTAGAATATTTGGTTAGGTGTTTGGAAAAAAATATTTTCCAAAAACACCCAGTGTATGACATTTTTATTGGTTTTACTTATCAAGCAAAAGGCGTTTGTGTTGACAGTACTGTAATATAATCACACCTTATGCTGCTTTTTATTGGGTTGTGCGATTAAGCCAAAATCAAAATGAAATTCTATTTGTTTGTTTCTTCTCTGCTTTTACTACAAACATATACATGTTTGGCTCCTGAGTTTTATTGTTTTTATGGACTTATATTCTCTGTTGTCCAGATTCTAATGTTGTGAGACCTCTTATATGAAAGCATGCATGGATCTTTAAACTAGCTGTAAATCTGTCCAGCCATTTGTGAGGCAGTAAACCCCCTTTAAGCTCATTATCGCCCCCTAAACAGATGGAGTGGAAAAGTTAGTCTTAAGCGTCTTTCCCATTGAAATAAGCAGGCTAACACAGGTTTTTTCAAATACAGGTCAACCCCCTAACAATCAGAATTTACTCTTACTTACTCTTTGAATTAGCTGAAGGAGCCAAAAGTAAATAAACTTGTGTCTTTTTATTTCTTTTTATTGTGAAACATTTGGAAAGAAATGTTTTGAATAATGATTTTGCTAATATTTCAATTCTGATTTATCTTTCTTTTGCTAATGATGTTTACTCTATGAATTGCAATGCATGAGTTACACTTTAGCTTTGGTTTTTGAGCTGCTAGAACTATGGAGAACACTTGAAATCTCAGAATTACTTAATTAGTTAAGAAAGATAAAACTGAAGAAGGATACAATGCTGGTCAAACAAATGGTGAGGGAATAGTGAAGATAAGAAGTCTGATCTGCTAAAGACAGGAATTATTGAATTACCAAACAGAATATATATGAGGAAACAATAAAAAAAACAACCTGGTGCCAAAAGAACAAGCTGGAACTTCTCAAATGACTCTGCCAAGGCAACATTTCTTCATCTCCTCGGGATTCTAATAAAGAGCTGCAGGGGCCCTTGAGACGAAAACATTCCCGCATACCTGACTTTATTTGCTATTTTGCTTACCTTACTGGGGATCCTAAGGATAAACTGATGGTTTGATTACTGCAAGTTATAATAAAGCCTGAAGCTCAGAACTCGCATAAAATCCATTTAAATGGCTCTTGTGGATCCTGCAGGACTCTAAAAGCTAAGCAGACCCTATATGCCTAATAGTGTGTTACGTCTAGATAGGCTCCAAAAACCAATAAAAACTTTTAAATAGGCCAGAATCAGACATTTTGTCAACTAAAGATAAGGAAACCTTAGAATACTTTTCCAAAAACTGAGCTCCTCAGGGAGCTCCTTCTGACACTCAGGGATATCTGGCTAAAATGACTTCATAATGTCTGCAGTAACAGCTCAACATGCTTATGCTTGTTTGCCTTGTCTACTTTTAAGACTAGGCTTAAAACTTTCTTTTTTGATAGAGCTTATAGTTAGAGTAGCTCAGGTTATCCTGCGCTATCTCTATAGTTATGCTTCTGTAGGCTTAGACTGCTGGAGGACATAGGGACCCCTATTTCATCATTCTGCTTCATTCTATCTCTATTATCCCACAATGCAGAATCTATTAGTTCAATCTCTAATGTTCTGCTCTCTCTGCTTTTTCTCATAGTAGCTTTGCCTCGTCTGTTCCTGTTTGGCTGTGACATCATCTTAGAGAGAAATATCAGCTGTGCTGCTGCCATCAACACCTTTGTTTATAGATGCTGGAGATCGGCCTGTTTTTTGGACAGAGCCGCCTTTTACAGTTGCCTTTTGTATCTCTGCTTCTGTCTCCTTGAACCCCAGTCGGCCTCAGCAGACGCTGAGCCTGGTTTTGCTGGAGGTTTCTTCTTGTTAAAGGGGAGTTTTCCCTCTCGACCGTCGCTACAAGCATGCCTAGTGTGAGGGATTGCCTTCAAGTCAATTCAATCAACAGGTTTTCCTTAGATAGAAAACTTTGAATCAATTTGACTGGATGATCTGGTGAACTGTAAAGTGCCTTGAGATGACATGTGTTGTGAATTGGCGCTATAGAAATAAACTGAATTGAATTTTTACCAAAAGTAGTTTTCGTTTAGACCAAACCTCCATCCCAAAGTCTGCTAACTGCACTCTAATACCCGGTAATGTTCTTCTAGTTAAAATAAGAAAAATGCCTTTAAATGCATAGAGCAAAGAAGAGGCTGTATAAAATGTATTATACACCAAGCCAACTATTCTATATACTAAGCAAAACTGACATCAATTTGGAACTAAATGAGTTGCGATTTCATTACAAGCCCACTCCACAGAGCTTCATTTTGTAGATCTATCATGCAAAGCTCTCCCAGAGAAGGAAAAATACAGAGATAATATATAAAAAAGCAGATTTGATTAAAGCTTCTGTAGGAGATATAAAA